TCACATTTTCGCTAGTTTTCGTGGGGACAAACAAAAGAAGGAACCGTTTTCAATCTGTCTTGACCGCTCGAAACCGAATACGCGATATTTTCATTACTTTCGAGTGACCTTTTGGCGCCGGTATGCACTTTCGCAATTGGTGTCTTCAGAGTTGCTTTTTGGGGTCGTTGTTTTCTGTATACTTGGCGCAAGAAAACCGCAGACTTGTTGCAGAAAAACCTTCGGACCCCCAAAATCGCAAATTTCCTTTTCCGCGATGCCGTTGTCGCTTCAGGCGACGACGTCACCCGTTGTCGCTTCAGGCGACGCCGTCACCCGTTTTCGCTTCAGGCGACGACGTCACCCGTTTTTGCTTCAGGCGACGACTCATAGAACTTCTCGGAGAAGATCATGGGTGAGACGGAGGCACCCTCGGGCTCAGGCTCGTCGGCGCAATCGTCGGCGCCAACGTTGGCGCCAACGTCGGCGCTAACGTCGGAGAAGGTCACTATGGAGGCACCCTCGGGCTCGTCGGCGCAAACGCGACTGCCGTCAGGTACGATCGCACATGCGACTGCCGTCGGGTACAGTCGCACACTCGACTGCCGTCAAGTACGGTTGCAAACGCCTCTGCCGTCAGGTACGGTCGCACAGTGTGATTCAGGTACGGTAGTGCGCTCGATTCAATTATCTTGTCTTCCTCGTTCATTGGTGGAAGCCTTTCTACTATACTGGAAATCCCTGCTTCTCGCTCCGCATCCTCAAAATCCATTCCTGATTCCTGCGACGACTCAAAAGCATCTTCACTTCGTATCCTCATGATCGCCCATTTCTGCTTGCTCCGTGCATCGCGCTGCTGCAGCCAGCGGGGATGTTCCCGGCTCACCTCTCAGCACCCCTTCGAAATCTCGCTCCCTCGCGGCTCTCGCGGCAGCCACGGACGTCGGGATTTGCGGAGGAGCTCAGTGGCGTGCGACCTTTTCGGCGGCGCTGGTGCTTCTAGCGATACTGGGCTTTGCTGCGACGCGGGATTTTATTCACGCCAGCCTTAAGACGGATTGTGAGTTTTTTTTTTTTGCCGTAAGTATGTATTTGCTCGCCTCTGATCCTCTCCCTACACGCACATTGCTTCCCCCTCCTTCCTCCCTCTCCCTCAACCCCACCTTACCCCTCATGCCTCATCCCTCTCCCTCATCCTTACGCCTCCCCCATCCCCCTTCCCTTTCCCTCTGCTCCTTTTTTCCCCTCCTTGTCCCACTCCCCCATTCCCTCACCTTTCTCAGCTATCCTTATGGCTTGTACTTATCTTTTCTTCCTCTCCCTCTTCCCTCACCCTCGTCCCTCTCCCTCATCCCTTGCCATCCTCATTATAGTGAACACCGGTATTAGAAATGTCCGGCGGGCATTTCTCGCCTTGCCTGCCGCCGCCCCGGGCCCCCTGTGCGACCTGTACCACGGGCAGTGGGTGCAGCCCTCTCCCCCATCCCTCTCCCCCATCCTTCTCCCCCATCGCTTTCCCCCATCCCCCTCCCCCATCCCTCTCCCCCATCCCTCGCCGTCCTCATTACAGGGAACGCCAGTGTTCGGCAGGGACTCCTCGCCTTCCCTGCCGCCGCCCCGGGCCCTCAGTCTCAGAATCCCAGCCACTAGACCACTGGGATAAAAGGGCTTGTTTCAGTAGCGGGTCAGTGCGCCCATAACCCCCCAGGCAACCGTGCCTGTAACCCTTCCCTAGGATCAATCGGGGATCACCAGTGGACCTCTGACACCCCCCCGCACTGGGAAACCCGAAGTGCATACACCGGGATTCGAACCCGAGACCTTCGCTCTGGATACCATCTCAGAATCCCAGCCACTAGACCACTGGGATAAAAGGGCTTGTTTCAGTAGCGGGTCAGTGCGCCCATAACCCCCCAGGCAACCGTGCCTGTAACCCTTCCCTAGGATCAATTGGGGATCACCAGTGGACCTCTGACACTCAGTGCGACCTGTACCACGGGTAGTGGGTGCAGACGCAGCAGTCGGCGTATTACTCGGGGGAGAGGTGCGGGTGGATTTCCACCAGCTTTGCGTGCGCGCGCAGCAACCGCCCGCTCGACATGCGCCAGTACGAGCGCCTGCGCTGGCAGCCCACCGGGTGCAATGTGACGCGCTTCAGCGCCGAGGGGTTCTTCAGCTGGTGAGGGTCTGGGTTTCGTGGGTGGTGGGAGGGATGGAATGGGGGCAGAGCTGGGGTCACCCCAAGCTCGCAAGAACGGTGGTTTGAGGTGTGTTCAAGCGCATAAGCACGGGCTACAGAGGTGTTCTTCCCTAAGGGAGGTGAGAGGTGTAGGGATTGAGTTATTCGTGTGGGTGACAACGCAGGCCAGCTACACTCCCCCTTCCTCTTCCCCCGTCCTACCCCCCCACCTGCCTTTGCTTCATCCCCAGTTACTCATCTACCCACTTCCTGCTTCCTTATACCCCCCCTCCCTCCCCCCCCCTTCCTCTCTTTCTCCCATCAGAATGCGCAACAAGAGCATTGCCTTTGTGGGCGACTCGTTGGGCCAGGAACCATTCCAGCCGCTGCTCTGCATGCTCGCCCCTGAAGGCCCGCCCAAAAACATATCCGACCCCGCATCCCCCATCCAAGACGCGCGTAAGGATTACGGCCTTCTCCCGACGCCCCAAGACAGCCACCGGCCTGATAGAGCGTACAGATTTGTTAAGTCCAACACTACAGTGATTTTCCGCTAGTCGACGACCTTATGCGAAATCGAGCCGCTCAATAACGGGACGCTGGACAAGGCGCTGCACTTAGACCGGCCCGACACTTTCCTAAGAGGCTATCTTAAGAAGCTGGATGTGGTGGTGCTGAACACGGGGCATCACTGGGACCGGGTGGAGATGAATCAGAACGCGCTCAAGTTTTATATCAATGGAACCGTGGCGCCGCCCGTGAACCGAAGGCCGATGGTCATGTGGCTTGCGCTGAAGACGGCGGTTCGGTCTCTGAGTGTGTGGATTGATGCTCAGCTGAAGCAGACGGTGGGTTCGGGTGCGATGCTTCCGGGCTTGGCGACAGGTGGGGGTGCGAAGCTGGCGACGGCGATTTTTGGGACACCTGACACAAAGCCAATGGTGTTTCTGCGATCGATTTTGCCGCGGCATTCCAAAGGGGATAAGAACGGCACAGGCGGGTGTGCCCAACTCAAGGTACGTAATTATACAGTGTAAAGGCTAACTTCAGTAAGATTATTGTATTTATCATTCCATGTGCTCATGCTAACTTCTGCAGCACTCAATATGGTATCTCATACTGTAGGATTGTGCACTTTGTGATATTTTCTGTGCTTTTCTTGTTCCCGTTTTGTATCTTTTCCCTGCATGGCAGTACCCGTTTGGGGATGCTGAGGTGGCCAATATGACAACCAGGGATGCTATTAAGAAGGATGCAGTGCTTGGAACATCAGTACACCTTTTGAACATCACGAACTTGTCGGCTTACCGTGGTGATGCACACCCAGCTGGCTGGGATCCTCGATACGCTGCTGCCAAGGGACAGGATTGCCTGCATTGGTGCTTACCGGGCGTTCCTGACACATGGAATGAGCTGGTTTACACTCATATCGTGGCAAAGGAAGGATAGGAGGAGTAGAACATGGGTGCCATGTGCAATTGTTTTTTGAGAACCACATGCATTTATGCGTGATTTTGTGCATGATGATACGGTAGCTATTTGGGATAGAAGAAAGTAAAAAATGTGTATCCATTAAAAAATAGGGCTGGTGACAGGGCTGATTTTATCAGGGTAATTACCCTGATTTCAGGGTGATTTCAGGCTTTCCACTTCGTGGAGACTGAAATTTCAGAGTTATTGAATTTTCAGCCCTGATCCAATCAGAGTAATAGTTTAGCTATCCCTGATTTTGAGTACAGTGTAACAGACTAGGCTGTTAGTGGACCCTGAGCTAACAGAGTATCGACTCTGTGGACCCTTACTTATGGAAGAGGAAGTTTCTCAGAAGTTTCCTTCCGATGACCGCGCCTTGGATTGATCGCATTGATCCCCAACATGTGCGTAATCTCTGCTTTATCGAGACGAAGTTTCTTCGAAACTTTGTCCTCATACACCTACCATCGAGATCGCGCGAATCTGCAATGTCATATATACTTTCCTGGGATGGGATTGGTCGAAATAGGCTCTGACAGCGGAAGTCTTTGGCTCGAACAGGTGTGTCTCGCCCGTTCGGTCGGTACACTCGCTCTAGGAGCACGCCTTTGAGGGCGACTAACTACAGTCGCAGCGTGTCTGATGCGTGTCGTCTGGAATGTTCAGCATTCAAGCACTACATGCCAGATGAAGAGATCCAATTGGGCATGGTAATAAGACAGGTAAACGTTACACTCACACACCAGATAGGTCAATCACACCCGCCCTGCACAAATCAGTCGAGTGTACAGCCAGGGGGAAACACAGCGAGCAGACTTAATGGAGAGTGGGGATTTTTTCCCCGGTAACAAAGCGCGCGTTAATACTCTGATGTTCAGTTCTCGACCCTGAACAATCAGAGTTAGCTACTTTACAACCCTGAGCAATCAGGGTACTGCTTTTCTGGAAAATGTGCACCCATAATAGAGGGGGGTTTTTTTTCCCGGAATCAGGGTGGCCTAAAATGAAACGTCAGCCCTGGCTGGTGATTATTTTTCTTCATTCCTCAAACGCACAACATACGGTCCCTGAAGTCTGTATAAGCAAAGCTGCGCGTTCTGTAACATGAAGAAAGGCAAGTAGCAAATTTTGAACTCCATATTGCAACAGAAATTGCAACTATGCGTGTAATATAAACAGCGGACATCGTTGGTGTTTTTTATGTAAAAGTTGTTCTCCCGTTACAAGTTCCACATAAATGCGTTGAATCTGAGCTCATATCGGAAGTACTGCGTTCTGGAAGTTCGCGAATATGATTCGCGCGGCGACAGATTCCACCCTTCTGCGCTGGGCGCTCTGGTGCCTGTCAGAGTCTGCGGCTCGGACTCTGTCAGCTTTCTCGCGCAGCCAGGTTTTCCATGCTGCCGAACTGTCAGCACCACGAACAGCCGAAAGTGCTAAGCCCAACGTTGGCTGGGGGGGGGCTAACTGTTGGCGAGATGAGCGAGAGATCGTTGTTTTGACAATACAGTCATGAGAACAAGGCGCCGGCGTGTATTCCCATGGCGAAGTTCGTGAACGTGAACAAGCCGGCTCGTGTCGCGCCGGCTGCCATCTCATGTCGCTATAATCGCCATTTCAGTTCCTGCGCAGCCTGCAGACGGCACTGGCAGTTCTATGTGTGACTTCCAGGGACCTGGACAGAATCCGTCGAGCACAGCACGGTTTTATCTGGCGGAATACGTAAAATGGGTGAACTGATATTCACCACCACTGATAGCAGCCTCGTTGTCACGAGCGAATTCTTAGTTGCCATTTACAGGTCGAGAACAAACTCAATTGCCTACGGCAGAACAACTGGCAGGTCGAGAACAAATCATACTGGTCATTTCATGCGGCCGGAAGATGGAGGCTGCCTCGTCGGCGCGACCGCGACCGTCGGCTCTACTATCAGTTTCGGCGGTGTCAGATCCTATCGAGGTTGCGCACACGCGACGGCCGTCACGTACGTTCACCAGCATACACTGGACAACCGTCAGGTTCGAGTCGCACACGCGACGGCCGTCAGGCTGATGCTGATGCTGACGCACTGATGCTGATGCTGATGCGCTGATGCTGATGCTAATGCGCTGATGCTGATGCTGATGCTGATGCGTTGATGCTGATGCGCTGATGCTGATGCGCTTTTGCTGATGCTGATGCTGATGCTGATGCGGATGCGAATGCGAATGTAAGAGGAAGTTACCTGGTAGAAGCGGTAGAACTGGAAGTCATCGTAGCTCTGCTGCACGTCCTGCATCACATCAGCCAGCCGGCGCAGTGCATAGCGGTCCAGGGCAGGCAGGCTGGCGTAGGGCACTGCCTTGGAGGGCTGAGGGTAGGAGGGGAGGAGGTGTGCAGGGAAGGATGGGGCATTGAGGAAGAGCATGAACGGGCATGACATCCGTCAGGTGGTGCAGTGATAAAGTTTTCGAGGCCTTTTGGGTCGTGTCGGAAATCAGACCTCGTAATCGTGCAGGTTGTCGAGAAAAAAGTGCAGTGTGCCGTTGAGATGGTTGAGTTGACTCAAAAGTCAACCAAGTGCTCCTAGTGCTTCAGACACCTGAGCAGGTTTTGGAGCTGACCAGTGAAATCATACAGCTCCTGCAGCCCCTGCCAGCTGACCTGGTAGTCGTGCAGGTTGCCGAGCAAGAAGCGCAGAGTGCCTCTTAGCTTGCGGTACACGTCGCTCATCTGCTTCACGATGGTCAGCCCGATCACCACGTCGCCACTGTAGTCCACCAATGACACCCACAGCCGCAGCACGTCCGCCCCGTATGCCGGCTCGGTCTGGAAAAGGCTTCACCTGCCCCCTCTGCTTCACCTGCCCCCTCTGCTTCACCTGCTCCCTCTGCTTCACCTGCCCCCTCTGCTTCACCTGCCCCCTCTGCTTCACCTGCTCCCTCTGCTTCACCTGCCCCCTCTGCTTCACCTGCTCCCTCTGCTTCACCCGCCCCCTCTGCTTCACCCGCCCCCTCTGCTTCACCTGCTCCCTCTGCTTCACCTGCCCCCTCTGCTTCACCTGCCCCCTCTGCTTCACCTGCCCCCTCTGCTTCACCTGCCCCCTCTGCTTCACCTGCCCCCTCTGCTTCACCTGCCCCCTCTACTTCACCTGCCCCCTTTGCTTCACCTGCTCCCCCTGCTCTGACATGCCAACAAGCCAAGGAGAGAAGGACTGTGAATGATAGGGCTCAACTCACCTCCACATTCCTTCCTCCTGCTCCCCTCCTCTGCTCCCCTCCTCTGCTCCCCTTCTCTGCTCCTTTCCTCTGCTCCCCTCCTCTGCTCCCCTCCTCTGCTCCCCTTCTCTGCTCCTTTCGTCTGCTCCCCTCCTCTGCTCCCCTCCTCTGCTCCCCTTCTCTGCTCCTTTCCTCTGCTCCCCTCCTCTGCTTTCCTCCTCTGCTCCCCTTCTCTGCTCCTTTCCTCTGCTCCCCTCCTCTGCTCCCCTCCTCTGCTCCCCTTCTCTGCTCCTTTCCTCTGCTCCCCTCCTCTGCTCCCCTCCTCTGCTCCCCTTCTCTGCTCCTTTCCTCTGCTCCCCTCCTCTGCTCCCCTTCTCTGCTCCTTTCCTCTGCTCCCCTCCTCTGCTCCCCTCCTCTGCTCCCCTTCTCTGCTCCTTTCCTCTGCTCCCCTCCTCTGCTCCCCTCCTCTGCTCCCCTTCTCTGCTCCTTTCCTCTGCTCCCCTCCTCTGCTCCCCTCCCCTGCTCCCCTTCTCTGCTCCTTTCCTCTGCTCCCCTCCTCTGCTCCCCTCCTCTGCTCCCCTTCTCTGCTCCTTTCCTCTGCTCCCCTCCTCTGCTCCCCTCCTCTGCTCCCCTTCTCTGCTCCTTTCCTCTGCTTCCCTCCTCTGCTCCCCTTCTCTGCTCCTTTCCTCTGCTCCTTTCCTCTGCTCCCCTCCTCTGTTTTTCCCTCATGTGCTCCCCTCCTGTGCTCCCTTCCTCTGCTCCCCTCTGATCCCCTCCTCTGCTCCCCTCTGCTCCGCCCCATGCACTCCCCCTTCTCCCCCCCCCTCCCCCTCACCTTCCTTTCCTGTCAGGATCCGCAACAAAAATCTCATTGCCTTTCAGGAGGGCTCGTTAGCCACGTCTATGAAGAAGTGTTTTGAGACGTCTCAAAACACTTCTTCATACACGCAACAACAATCTCATAGCCTTTCAGGGGGGCTCGTTAGACCAGCAGCAGTTTCAGTTGCTGATCTGCCTGGAGATCTTAACCTAAACGGTTTTCCCTCTCCTCCTTCATTTCCACCCTCTCGGAATGCGCGACACACACATTGCCTTTGTGGGGGACTCTCTAGGCCAGCGGCAATTGCCTCCTTCTCCCCATTCACTCCCCTTCCCCATCCTGAACTCCTTCCCCCTTTCCTTGCAGGATGCGCAACAAGAGCATTGCCTTTGTGGGGGACTCGCTAAGCCAGCAGCAGTTCCAGCCGCTGCTCTGCATGCTCTCCCCTGAAGGTCCACCCCAAAACATGTCTGACCCCTCTTCCCCCGTCCAAGACGTGGGCACAAACTATGGTTTTTTTCAGCTGCCCGAGGACCGCCACCCAACCGGGCTGGCGTACAGTTTTCTTTCGTCAAACACTACAGTGATTTTCCGCTGGACGCCTTACTTGTGTAGAATCAAGCCGTTTAAGGGGGACTGGAAGCTGGGCCGTGCGATGCACTTAGACCGATCGGGCACTTTCTTAAGAGACTTTCTTAAGGAGCTGGATGTGGTGGTTCTGAGCACGGGACATCACTGGAACGAGGATGAGATGATAGAGAAAGGCCTGCATTTCTTCCTGAATGGGAGCGTAGCGCCGCCTGTGGAAAGTCGGCCGATGGCCGTGTCGTTGGCGTTGCGGACGGCGATACGGTCGGTGTCTGTGTGGATTGATGACCAACTGAAGGGGATGGGCAAGGGACGTTTGCAGGTGAAGGGAGGGTGGGGAGAGGGAACAGGGGTGGGAAAGAGGGGAATTCTGAGTTCAGCTATGACGCTTTCGCCTGTAACGCTTCCAGCTTTGGAAACGAAGCCGATGGTGTTTCTGCGATCGATTTCGCCGAGGCATTTCATGGAGGGGGAGTGGAACTCGAGAGGACGATGCGACCATATCAAGGTACGTAGAGATAGTGTATAGACTAACTTTCCTAGATTTGTTTTGTATGCACATGCTAACTTATGTAACACTCCATGTGCTACCTCACTCCATTTGCTGTTTTGCTTTTTCCCCATTTTTTTTTTATTCTTGCATGGCAGCATCCGTTTGGGGACATTGATGTTGCCAACATGACAACAAGGGACGCTGAAAAGGAGGATGGAGTGTTGGGAAAATCAGTACGCCTTTTGAACATCACGCACCTGTCGGCCTACCGTGGTGATGCACACCCAGCCAAATGGGACACACAATTCCATAAGCCCAAGAGACAACAAGACTGCATGCATTGGTGCTTACCTGGAGTTCCTGACACGTGGAATGAGTTGCTTTATACACACATTGTGGAGAGGGGAAGACTGGAGAAGCAGATTTTAATGCAAGCGCTTGTTTAGTTGCTGTCTATGTGGGCTCGTGCTGCCGCCATACGTCATGCATGTATTAGTGCATTGCAAGGTGGTGTTATTAGAAGTAGGTAAACAAATGTGTGTTAATTAGGTAGTAAACCTAAACTTATGATACACTTTTGTGACTGCCGTGTTGACTTGCCTTTAACGGTGCACCTTCCCGCTTTTTGAAGCAATGAGCATCCATGCTTGGAATACACGGTCAGGATTATCGGCGCTAGCCGAGCCTATCACTCGAGCCAAAACTCGTGGCTCGACATGCCACCGTCCATGATCCAGTTGGGTTTGTTCTTCCTTTTGGCCAGTGAACAGTTTGGCAAGGGGGAAGCGGGTGGTGGTGGTGGCTCACTAAGTTCGCCTCCAGACGGTCCTGACCTGAAATGGTGGTGTGGATTGATAGAAAAGAATCGTGGGTGTGTCTGTTCTGACCGAAACTTAGAATGGGACCAATACGTTATAGTACACTGCGTTAATATTCTCTATTTGGGCTTGACTTGCTGTTCACAAGATGACTGACAGAAAAATGAAGGTCCACTGTTGTGGGATGGATCCGAAGAAATATAAAAGTCGGTGACAGAGCAGATTGAATGAGATTACACCTTAGGACGTGGGCCCGATCGAGTCTGATCGCCTCGATCACACGCGGTAAAGAACTTCCAGGAAGCCTGGAATCCAATTTCAGGCAATCGGGGGCAATCGGCTGATCGTGATCAACTGATCGCCTCAACTCGATCAGACCCGATTTTCACCCCGGTCAGAGCCAATTTTCCTCGATCACAGGCGATCACTTGATTGCATGTGATCGGGGCCTACAGCGCTGCTTGCGAGTAGTTACAACGTTGCGCTTACTGTGAAACGAATATTTTCGCCAGGTGACTTCTGGTCGTCAATCTCGCTATAATGGGGACGAAACTGCTAGGTAAATATGTCGCACTTGCTGAGCAGCCGTTGATGAACCTCTTCGAGAAACATTTCTGATCGCGCGGCTCGGGCATCGCGATCACAAGCAACCCGATCAGATCCGACCCGATCAGATCAGTCGCCATCAAACTCGATTGGGCCCACGTAGTTAGATCCCCACAAGCTAACGGACGGCTGCCCTTGCTTGCCGTTTCGAGACTTCACTTCCGTCCTTTCCTCCTCCCTTTCCCTACATCATTTTCCTCCCTGATCTGATCCGTTCTCTTTCACTCCCTCGCGTTTCGTTTCGTTTCGTTTCGTTCCGCCTCGAGCGTGTGAGTTCAGCCAATGAAGGACGTAGGTTTTACTGTCGTTGATTAGATGATTGACGAGACTGTAGGCGCACATGGGGTGGGGTGAGGTGAAGTGTGGAAGTAAATTCACAGCCTGATTCGGGGTTTCACGTTCTTGTGTCGTGCTGTCAACGCTAGTGAGTAGCTCCTGTTAGAGTAGCTTCTATTAGAGGGGAATGTTGTCATGAGTAGCATTTGCTCAAGAACGAGTGAGATGCTGTGCGAACCGCTTCGTTCCCAAGCTGCTGCTTGCGCCGACTCGAGAAATGTACAGTTCCTGGGTGTTTAGGGTTAATGCCTCCGTAGTTGTAGCGTGATTTCCGCTCGTTCTCCCTGCTAACGTGTCAGGCCGAGTAGCATCCATCGACGATTATCAATCGACAATTGACAACAATTTCCAGCAATTGACAACCCTCCTATCTTCACCCGTCGACTTACGATCTCGAGGAAATTATAGCGAGGAAAGAAATGGACCTTCTACTCTTACCAACGGATGTGATTGTTCAGATTCTTCACGAGTTAGAGTATCAGGATCTACTATCTGCCGCTGCCACGTGTCGCACGCTGCGCTCATTAGCTAATCGGCCCCAAGTCTGGCTGAATCTGTGCAAGCAGTGGGAATCCGACGTGGCGATTTCAGATTGGCTCGTCGAGACGAGTTCCCCGAAATGCCTCTTCCGTCTCTTGAAAGCTCTCGATCCATTGGCTGGAGTCTGGGCTGCTGATGACTTGGCTCCACGTGGCGGTCTGCTGTTTGCTAGTTGGGTGAGAACACTTCATTCCTATTATTACTATTTCTCTTCCTGCCATCGCTGCTGCATTGCGTTTGTTTGTTAGTTTCGAAGGTTGATTGTTGCGTTTCTGTAGCACGAGGTCAAAACATGACTATTAGGCCTTCCGTAACCGTGGCGACGCGCTGGCTTGTCCGCGTTTGAAGCACGTCGTGTCAACATGAACGCCTGCGTCGCGTCACCGCATCATTCACCACGTTCGCTTCTTCGCAGCTCAACGCGCGGTTCCGTGATTCAGTCTGCTTTCTAACCCATATCTGCTCTGCTCCCCTTCTCTCTTCCGTTTCTGCTCGTTCTATCAGGAAAAGATGTCCATGGTCGCTTATCGCATCATTCCTGACTGGCTTGGTAAGTTTTTTGAAGAAACATTCTACAGTAACATTAGAAATCATTCATCAAACATGGGAACCTTTTTTGTCTTCCTCACTGCCCACATTTTCTTTAAAAAATAAAAAAAAATGTTCCTCGGAAGGAACTCTCTCCATCTATTCTCAATTATGTCTTCCATCTTCCAAATTAAATTGACAGTTGGCAGATTTTCTTCGCCCGCTCCCCCTCTCGCCCCCAGATGGCTCTCTGCTCTGCGCGCCTCTCTTCCTCTCTAGAGCCATCCCCGACAAAACCACGAAGCTGCATTTTCTGAGGCGCGTCAAAACCCATCTTCCTTTCCAACTAATCTTCCTCATGTGCTCCCGTCCCCCCTTACCTCCAGACGAGTCTCTGCTCTGCGCGCCTCTCGTCCTCATCTCAGCCCTCCCTGACGGAACGACACAGCTGCGCTTTCTGATTCTCCTCTAATTGCATTTTAGCTGCTAATCTTCCTCACACGCCCCCCACCCCCCCCCCTCCCCCCCCCCCTCTCCTCCCCCTCCCCCCCCCCATGCCCCCCCGCTCGCTCTTACCATCCAGACGGGTCTCTGCTCTGCGCGCGTCTCTTCCTCATCTCCGCCCTCCCCGACGGAACCACGCAGCTGCGCCTCCTAGCCGGGCGCGGGTTGGAGGAGCAGCACACTGTGGAGTTACCGGGTGTGCTTGTATGGGAGACAGCTGAAAGACAGAGGTTCCACCTGCAAACCCTCCTCCCTGCCGCCCGCCCTGCGTCTCGGGGTAGTTCAATTCAGCTCGCCTGTTTCTTTTCCCTCCCCCCCTCTCCCATCCCCTTTCCCCTCTCTCACCACCAGACGGGTCGCTGCTCTGCGCGCGTCTCTTCCTCATCTCAGCCCTCCCGGACGGAACAACGCAGCTGTGCCTCCTAGCCGGGCGCGGGTTGGAGGAGCAGCACACTGTGGAGTTACCGGGTGTGCTTGTATGGGAGACGGCCGAGCGCCAGAGGTTCCACCTGCAAACCCTCCTCCCTGCCGCCCGCCCTGCGTCTCGGGGGAATGCGGCTGGTTTGTTTGGATCGTCTGCTCGCCTTGCTGCACCGAATGCTGCCTTCTCTTCCCCTGCGCCCGCGCCCTCGTCTTCTGCTGCCGCTGCTCCTCCTCCTCCTCCTGCTGCTTCTCCTGCTGCTTCTCCTGCTGCTGCTGCTTCCGCTGCTGCTGCTGCTGCTGCTGCTGCTGCTGCTGCTGCTGCTGCTGCTGCTGCTGCTGCTGCTGCTGCTCCGCCTGTTTCCCCTGCTGCTGCGGCGCGGTTGAATCCCCTGCTGGCGCGCTACATGGTAAACGCCCCTTCCAATACCAGCAGCACGCTCGCCGGAGCTGCTGCTGCTGCTGCTGCTGCTGGGAGTGCCAATGTTGCTGCTGCTGGAAATGCAACGGGAGCAGCCGATAATGGGGAGCAGCAGCAGCAGCAAGAGGAGCAGCGGCGGCAGCAGGAGGTTGGAGATGCTCTGTTGGGCCGCCAGGTGTCGCGATCCATGTGGCTGGGAGCGGAGGCTCGGGAGCGCCCTGGCTTCAGGGAAGCTTCAGCAGGATGGACTGCTGCTGCTGCTGCTGCTGTTGCTCCCAATGCTGCTGCTGCTCCTGCTGCTGCTGCTGCTGCTGCTGCTGCTGCTGCTGCTGCTCCCAATGCTGCTGCTGCTCCTCCTGCTGCTCCTGCTGTTCCTGCTGCTCCTGCTGTTCCTGCTGCTGCTCCTGTTGCTCCTGCCAGTCTCGCTGGTCCTGCTGCTGCTCGTGTTGCTGCTGCTACTCCTGCTGCCCTTGCGGCTGCAATTGCTGCTCCTGCTGCGCCCCCGGTGGCTGCTGCTGGTGGCGGCGCCGGAAGAGGGCTACAGCTGCGAGCACTGCAGTACTTGTCGGGAATAGCAGGGGCAGGCAGAGGGCTGGGCCGCGGCAATGCAGCTAGGGGCAACGCGGGCGGTAATAGCAATGCTAGTAGGGGAGGGAGGGAGCATGGGAGGGAGGGTGGGAGTGTGGGAGGGAGGGGTGGTGGTGGGATGGCGGATGCACTTGCAGGAGTGGGGACTGGTGGGTCCCGAGCACAGCTATTCGGGCACCTGCCGTCACTGCAACCGTTGCAGCAGCCGTTACAGCAGCAGGAACAGCAGCCGTTGCAGCAGCAGCAGCAGCAGCAGCAGCCGTGGCTCCCGAGCGCGTTTCTTGTGGCAGAAGGGCTAGCATCCGGCAGTGGCAACGGCGGGGGCAGCAGCAGCAGTCAGGGCCCAGGCGGTAGCAGCAGCAGCAGCTCCGCTGGCGCAGGCGGAACTGGGGCGGGCGGAGCTGGCGCAGGCGGAACTGGCGCTGGCGGAACTGGCGGTGGCGGAACTGGCGAAGGTAGTTCCGGGGGCCATGGGTGGTCCTGGATTGGCGGAGCAGGGGGAGGGGGAGGGGGAGGGTTCCAGGGAGGCGGATTCGAGGGAGGGGGGTTCGGGGGAGGGTGGAAGCGCGGAGGGGATGGGGGGATGGTGGATGAGGTGAGTGGGCAGGTGAGACGGCTGCCTGTGCCAAAGTCAAGCTACAGCCGGGTGCCCTTGACCCGTGGAGAGAAGGAGCGGGAGAGGCGGAGAGGGGCGGGGAAGAGGCGGGCGGGTGACGTGCGCGCGGGGGTGCAGGGAGGGGGGGATGGGGCCGGGGGGAGCTTTGACGGAGTGGGTACTGGCGCAAATATAGGCGCGGGTGGGATGGAGGCGGATGGCATGAAGGAGGAAGTTCTAGGGGCGGAGGGAGGAGGCGAGGGAATGGAGGGGCATGAAGGGTGGATGATGGATGGAGATGGGTGCGCGGAGGAGCGCGGGGAAGAGAGCAGAGGAGAAGGAAGGAAGGGGGTAGAGGGCAAAGGAGGAGGGGGGACGGGGGATGCAGCAGAGGAGGTGCCTGCATGGGCGTATGGGTTGGAGGGGCTGTGGACGGGCGAGTATGGACCCCATGGTGTGGAGATTTTGAATGTGCTTGTACAGGGGGGAGAGATCGTCGCGACTAAGATCACAGGTACGCTGGAGGGGGGGAAGGGGGGGAATGGGAGGTGCAGGTGCAGCAGAGGAGGTGCCTTCGGGTGTGCTTGTAACGGGTAAAGATTCTGAATGTGCTTGTACAGGGGGAGAGGTATTCGCCAGTAAGATCACATGTTGGATGGATGTTAGATCACATGTTGATCACATGTTTATCACACGTTTATCACATGTTGATCACATGTTGATCACATGTTGATCACATGTTGATCACATGTTGATCACATGTTGATCACATGTTGATCACATGTTGATCACATGTTGATCACATGTTGATCACATGTTGATCACATGTTGATCACATGTTGATCACATGTTGATCACATGTTGATCACATGTTGATCACATGTTGATCACATGTTGATCACATGTTGATCACATGTTGATCACATGTTGATCACATGTTGATCACATGTTGATCACATGTTGATCACATGTTGATCACATGTTGATCACATGTTGATCACATGTTGATCACATGTTGATCACATGTTGATCACATGTTGATCACATGTTGATCACATGTTGATCACATGTTGATCACATGTTGATCACATGTTGATCACATGTTGATCACATGTTGATCACATGTTGATCACATGTTGATCACATGTTGATCACATGTTGATCACATGTTGATCACATGTTGATCACATGTTGATCACATGTTGATCACATGTTGATCACATGTTGATCACATGTTGATCACATGTTGATCACATGTTGATCACATGTTGATCACATGTTGATCACATGTTGATCACATGTTGATCACATGTTGATCACATGTTGATCACATGTTGCCGTTCTTTCCCCTTCTATCAAAGGCGATCCCAGTGTGCCCTGCGGGCAATTGACCTTTAAAGCCCACCTCGCCACCTTTTGAGGCGCCTCAAGAGTTTTGTGCTGAGTCCGTTCGTTCTTTCCCCTTCTATCAAAGGCGATCCCAGTGTGCCCTGCGGCCAAGTGATCTCTAAAGCCCGCCTCGCCACCTCCCAGTGTACGAGACCCCTTCGTCATCCCCCCTCACTCACTCCCCCCCCTCCCCCTCCCCCCCCCACCCCTCCCCTGTCCATCACAGGCGAGCCCAATGTGCCGTGTGGCCAAGTGACCTTCAAAGCCCGCCTCACCACAGCCCAAGGCCCTTTTGCCATCCCTCCTCACTCATTCCTCCCCCTACCCCCTCTCCCACACAGTCGATCCCAATGTGCCGTGCGGCCAAGTGACCTTCGAGGCCCGCCTCGCCACAGCCCAAGGCCCACCCGACCCATCAGATCTTCCTCCCGCCGACAGCCTCCTGCCCCGTGGGCCTGGGGGAGCGCGTGCTGACCCGCTGGATAAGTCTATTGTCCCCTTTGTTGCCCTTCTTTACCTTCCAGGCGATCCCAACGTGCCTTGCGGGCAAGTGACCTTTAAAGCCCGCCTCACCACAGCCCAAGGCCCATTTGACCCATCAGATCTTCCTCCTGCCCCGTGGGCCCGGGGGAATGCCTGTGTCGCTCACTCCCACCTGTAGCATCGTCATCCCCCTCGTCCCACCAACGGTGGTGATAAGCCCCTTGCTTCCCCTTTGTTTCCCTTCCATTTCTTTCCCATCTCCCTCCCAGGCGACCCCAACGTGCCCTGCGGCCAAGTGACCTTTAAAGCCCGCCTCACCACAGCCCAAGGCCCGCCCGACCCATCAGACCTTCCTCCTGCCGACTTCCTCCTGCCCCGTGGGCCCGGGGGAATGCCTGTACCCCTGCTGACCATTTCGGACCCGCTTGTTCCCCCTTCCTTCCCTGCAGGCGATCCGAACGTGCCCTGCGGCCAAGTGACCTTCAAAGCCCGCCTCACCACAGCCCAAGGCCCGCCTGACCCATCAGACCTCCCACCCACAGACGGCCTCCTGCCCCGTGGGCCCGGGGGAATGCCTGTGCCGCTCACTCCCACTCGCAGCATCGTCATCCCCCGTCCCACCAATGCTGGTGATGACTCTGCTGGCAGTGGCAGCAACATGGGCGCGGGCAGCAGCAGAGGGGGAGGAAGCAGTGATACAAATGGGAGTGATAATGCAATGGGGGATAATGATGCCTGTGATGATGGTGACTGTGATGGTGGTGACGTGGATAGGGCAGCAGAGAGGGAGAGGGAGCGAGCAGAGGAGGTGCAGAGGGAGAGGGGAGAGAGGTGGCAGAGAGCGACGACTCTGGCCCGTGCTGTGATGCACACGGATCATGATGCGGGGGCAGATGACGGCACGGAGGTGCAATTCGTCTGGATGTGAGTTCTTCTTCACTGCTTTGTCGTACTGTCCCCTTAATGTGTTTTAACATGTTTGGTAAGTTAATGCCGAATGCTACCACTTTGTGCCTAAGTACCTTTCTTAGATATGTATAGTTCCTTCATGCTTGCCTATTCTTGATTCTCACCTCACCTACTCACACCACACTCCACTCCTCCTGATGCTCTTCCCATCCGCCATCCACGAACCAACAGGTGCCAGGGCCAAGGCCGGGTGGCAGACTACAACTTCCGCCGCCCGCAGTGGGTGAACGGTTGTCTGCTGGTGGACTCTGCCGCCCGCATCACCTTCCTCTGGCAGGACGTGCACTTTGCCATCCGCTTCCGCCGTCTCGACCTGCCCAAGCTGGTTCACAGTGCTGCTTAGCCACCCCTGCTGCTTTTGAGGCTATCTTGGTCATACTTGGTTTTTTTTTTTTTTTTTTTGCCGTCTCGACCTGCCCAAGCTCGTTCACAGCGCTCCGTTCATTAGGCATCTGAAGAATCGTACGTTGATCCAGCTATGGCAAGCTGATCGCTTTTTGAGTCGACTTAAAAAGGGCGGTGCTTACTGAACCACTCAATCTTGGCGGTTTTCCCTCGCGCAGCACCTTCCCCCCCCCCTTTTTCGCGTTTTTTTTTCTTCTTTTTTGGCTCCTTTTTTTCCTGAGAGGTTTGGCCAGTGCGCGCCATACTCTTTAACAGCTGACAGTCGCTCTGGCCGGCTTCGTCTGAGTGAAATGAAGCAGCAGCAACAGCAGGGGCATCAGAGGCAGCAGGGGCAGCAGGGGCAGCAGGGGCAGCAGGGGCAGCAGGGGGAGCAGGAGCAGCAGAAACAGCAGAGGCAGCAGAAGCAGCAGGGGTTGAAGCAGGAGCAGCAGCAGCCGGGGCAGCAGGGGTAGAAGCAGCAGCAGGAGCTCTCACTCAACCGTGAACAAACGACGAAAAGACAGGAGAAGTCGGGCGGAGCTTCTTTTGATGTGTGCTTGCTCCGGGAAAACCATTCGTTTCCAGGTGGAGGGGACTACTATGAAAGGACTCTAGGAAGAGAGCCCGACCATGTGAGACCTTTTGAGTGCTCGACCATCTGAGACCTTTTGAGTGCCCGACCATCTGAGACCTTTTGAGTGCCCGACCATCTGAGACCTTTTGAGTGCCCGACCATCTGAGACCTTTTGAGTGCCCGACCATCTGAGACCTTTTGAGTGCCCGACCATCTGAGACCTTTTGAGTGCCCGACTATCTGAGACCTTTTGAGTGCCCGACCATCTGAGTCCTTTTGAGTGCCCGACCATCTGAGACCTTTTGAGTGCCCGACCATCTGAGACCTTTTGAGTGCCCGACCATCTGAGTCCTCTGACCCATGATGGTGGGCTGATCAAAGAATGGGCTGAGCTGAGAGCAGGCCGCCCATCTCTAGCAACCTGTTGACAATACAACCTGTTGATTCTAGCCTGGTGAATCATAATCTCTTTCAGATATTCCGGACTCTGGCATTCTGGATGGCAGGCAGCTTCATCAGATTTGGAGCGCTCTGGTGTCAGCAGCATTCCCGGCAGTGCACACTGGATTGCAGGGCTGGATTGCAGAAGCTGAACAGGGCTGAACCTTTGGGTTGACTCAAAACGTGACTTTTGAGTATTGACTCGTGCTGCTGGTTAGATTGCAGCTGGTTTTTTAGAATCCTCAAAACCAGCCCGTAACTTGTGGGTTGACTGAGTCTCGACTCATGGTGCAGGGCAGAGTTGCCAGGTTACATAGCATGAAACTGGAGCTGGCGGTACCAGCATTTCTGTTACGGTACTGCACCTCATGGAGGTCCCCTGATCTGGTGCTGGTCTGGTACTGTACTGTACCATCTGTTATATTACCTCCACAATTTTGCCTGGTTCAATGATGCAAACATGCTGCTTAGAAGTTATGTTTCTGTCTAGTTGTGACAGACCAAACACAAGAATTGAACCATATACTGCTGTGCTGGCTGGCACCTTTTGTTGCAATGAAAGTTTTAGTGGTGCTAATCTACACTGCAGCACAAGGTTTTTGCTCATATACAGCAAACTAATGCATATCAGTGCTACATTACAAAACGTACCGTAGTGGGGTACATTGCACAAATGACTGGACAGGTGCGGGCAAAATTCATCACGCAACAAGCGCCCTTTCGAGATTTTACAAAACACAAATTCTCACTCACTACCCCCTTCTCATCTCGGTCTTCTGTGATCTTGAGCCGTCGATTTCGCTTCTGTGAATCCCCACCCCACCCCGATCCCTAGGACCCTAGCCCCAGCCCCGCCCCAGCCCCGCCCCAGCCCCACCCTAGCCAAACCCCAGCCCCACCCCAGCCCCACCCCAGCCCCATACCCCCACTGCACCTACCTACGAAACCTCCCCCACCCTTCGCACCAGAAGAGTCCATCTCAGTCTTCTGTGATTTTAAGCCGTCGGATTCGCTTCTGTGCCCCCCCGCCCCCACCACCACCCCCTCCCCCACCACCCCCACTACCACCCCCAACCCCCCCACCAGCAGAGCCCGGACCAGAAGGAGCAGGCGCAGTGGTGCTGGGTTCAGCCGCCCTCCACCCTGCCTGGCGCTGATTGAATGGACGGGTGAGGCAGGCAGAGGGGGAGAGGAACAATTGTGAGCCGTCGGATCCTCTACTGTGAACTCCCACCGCCCCCATCCCCACTTCCAGCAACGGCAGAGCCCGGACCAGAAGCAGCAGGCACGGTATTTCTGGGTCCAGCAACCCTCCACCCTGCCTGGCTTTTGAGGCGCCTCAAAAGCAGCAGGCACGGTGTTTCTGGGTCCAGCAACCCTCCACCCTGCCTGGCGCTGATTGAATGGGGGGAAACCAGAGGGGAGGGGGAGGGGAGGGGAAAAGGGTTGAGGGAGGGGGAATTTTCATGCGCGTGAAATTGTGAAAGGTGAAGAGAACAAGAGAGGGACGGGAGACAAGACACAACATAATCACTTCTCATAAAAGTTCCGACTGAGGAGCAGAATTTTTTTAGGCTCCTCACAAGACTTCTTTTGAGGCGCCTCAAGAGAAGCACAGTGACATAGCCACTTTGAGTAGTTTGATGCGAGTGAAAGCCGCAAAGCACAGAGAGCAAGATAGAGAGAGACATGATGAGAGAACACCAATCTCACCTCTCTCCCGAATTCAGGCTATGCTGTGCTTTGTCAGCATAACCTGGTCTCACCTTTCTCCCAACTTCAAGCCGTGGTGTGGTAGCGGCAATATTGAAATCACTTTTGAGAATTCTCAAAAGTGGTGTGGTAGCGGCACCTGTGAAGAGAGGCAGAAAAGACTTCTGAGAATTCTCAAAATTCATAACCTGGTCTCACCTTTCTCCCGACTTCAGGCCGTGGTGTGGTAGCAGCACCTGTGAAGAGAGGCAGAAAAAGACGGGTGATGAGGGATGAAAAAGGGGTATGGAGAATGGGTGATGAGGAGTGGAGAGAGCAGCAGGAAGTGTGTTGACAGAGGGTCTGTGTGCAACAGCCATGAGTTGACTCAGTAAGTGCACCTGAAGCAGCAGTGGAGGCTGCAACTAGTTTCCTAATACAATGTATGTGGATATAAACACATCATACTCATAGATTCTGAGGTGGGAGCAAGAGAGCGAGGGCTTCTTGTGTGCTCGTAGGCACGAGTTGTCTTGTGTGCTCGTAGGCACGAGTTGTCTTGTGTGCTCGTAGGCACGAGTTGTCTTGTGTGCTCGTAGGCACGAGTTGTCTTGTGTGCTCGTAGGCACGAGTTGTCTTGTGTGCTCGTAGGCACGAGTTGTCTTGTGTGCTCGTAGGCACGAGTTGTCTTGTGTGCTCGTAGGCACGAGTTGTCTTGTGTGCTCGTAGGCACGCGTTGTCTTGTGTGCTCGTAGGCACGCGTTGTCTTGTGTGCTCGTAGGCACGAGTTGTCTTGTGTGCTCGTAGGCACGGGTCATGCCAAATATACATCGAGTTGTCTTCTGAGTCGACTCAAAAGTCATTGATTCTGAGGTAGGAGCAAGAGGGAGAGGCTTTTCGTCTTGTAGGCATGGGTCATGCCAAATATGCATCTCTGAAGCTGCACTTCTTGTTGAATATGTTTGGGCACCTTAAAATGACCCCTTTCCTTGTGATAGATATTGCAAGTTGGAAGGCTGTTTTTTTAATAACTCAAAAACACTTTCCTTAATGCTGTCTCTTTCCTTGTGAATTTTAACTATTGCTTTTGAGTTGACTCAAAAGCAGTATTGCAAGTTGCAAGTTGGAAGGCTGTTCTTTGAGTAACTCAAAAACACCTTAACGCTTTCTCTTTCCTTGTGAATGATCACTTTTGAGAATTCTCGAAAGTGTTTTCGACATGGCACGTTGAGTA